AAAACATAGGCCCCTCCCAACCATAGTACTGGTTGTGGGGGGCCTATCTTTTAGGGCAAAGTCTGGTATATGGCCGCTATCTTGAAAGCCTAAACGATAGGCAACCTCACCAGTTACTTGCACAGCTACTCAGATATGTCTTTTCACTTATGTTTCTGGGGGGAAAAAAGTCAAATCTGTAATGCCTGGAACGATACACCAAAATAAGACTGCTGAAAAGGAGATGCAAATGCATAGCTAGATAAAAACAAAGGAGAAGGAAGTTAAAACCATATCTTCCTTTGATCATGATGCGAAAGTAAAGTGGATGAGACTGGAGTGCTAAGAAGGATGCAGCGGGATTATAGGGAGGGTTGCAGAAACAACGAAAACGTCTCTACATGAACAGACTGTGTAGCCACAGGAACTGATTCTATATATCCTTTGAACAGATCCCTGCTGATGCAGTTGAGGACCGTTAACATTTATTCACTAGACTTGAATAAATGTGTGCAGTACATATTTATTCCCAGAGGCCATTATTGAGCACAGTGGGGCCCATGAACTACACTTTGCTGTGGCAGCCATTTTGGCCAGTGGCATCCAGGGAGAAGGAGGCACTGAATTTGACGAGGCTGCATACAACACTTGATGTGAGAAAGAAATCAGATGGTCAGAACTGATTTTGCCACAATAAGCTGTTGTTAAAACTCACTTTGGTCCCAATCTTCAGAGATTGTTTAATAAGTTTTGTTCTCTGGATGTTGGCCCCTGGTTTCACCAAGATGTCCTCCACACCTGGATGTCAAAACAGTAAACAGAGCTTTAAAATGGGACAACAATGTTCTTCATACTGTGGTTGTTGGTGAGTAATATTATTAGAAATTTGCAATCTCTACCCAGCGTAAAGCCTCTGTACAGCTGCAGGTATGCGGTGAAGAGACGAGCAAGGCAGCTGAGCAGCTTCCCACTGGTGTCGCCGCCATATAGTTCATAACAGCAGTGCACCAAACCGTAGGCTGAGGAGCCGTAATGAGCTTTGTCAAGAACCCCAACAAGCAGCTCTCCCTGACGGATCACCACCTGTGAATCAAAATGGAAAGTAAAGGGTTGATAATCAAAGAAAGTATTGTTCCTCTATCAAGGCTGTTGCATATACAGTTGCATACATACAAATGATACATTTGTTCTGGCTGCGAAAAACAGCATCAAGTAATTTTCTTTCTTGCTTCCTTGCTCTGCTTTGGGATTCCTCGCCTGTTCTTGGCACGTCATCTGGGTAGAACGTTGCTCTCACAGGGTGTCTCACCTGTTGTCTGATGTTTGAGTGGGTGGGGATAGCTTGCGGCCAACACTGTTCTTTGAGCTCCCAGAAGCTGATATTTGGTGTGACAGCTAGTGTCTTCTGATCAGAAACCATCATACCGAGTACTGGGCGCTTAAGTAAAATCCCCTCCCTACCTACCACTCCAATGGAGTTGACGTTGGTAATTGATTGTTACGGTTGTGTACAATATCTCTTACCACACACACAAAATTATGGCAAGGCTAATTTTTCTTGGTTTTCTGCAAGAATAAACCAGTATTGTTTGCTCCACCTTATTTGTACTCATACCTGTGAGTCACACATGCTCTCAGGTTTGTATCCAGGAGTTGCTCGTGGGGGCTCTTTGATCCATGCCTTGCTCGGGATTTTTGATTTCCCAAACAGGTTAAGAGGCACAGCCTTCTGAGGGATTACATTCAGCAGAAGAGTGGACACCACCTACAACATACCCCACAAGACCGATTACGTGGCTGTATTTGCATTAGAAAATTAGTTGTTTTAAAGCATGAATTACAACAAGTTCCAAGTTGAAAATTTGCTCTTAGCCAGGTGACCTGCTTTCCAGTCCATAGAGGTTGTGGTTTGACTATAGCTGGAGGCAGAAGCTTTACTCTGCCCTGCTTGTCAGTCAGTCCCCTATACACCAACTCAGTATACTGGTCTCTGGTAAAGAAGCAGCCTCGTATCGTCATCCTCGTTCCTGAAACCATGTGGTCCTGGATCAGACCTGCTAAAGGTTTGCCATCCTGAGAGGAAGTACAAGAAAGAAATAAACAATTAGATGATGCGTTTTGGATAGGATTTGGATGGCACTGTGTATTCAGTTGCACACCTTGGGGACGAGGTACTGCTGGTTAGTGCTGACTAACGTGTACGCCTCCGCCCTGCCAAGCTCACTTTGAGGGAAGTGGGCATTCATTTCATCTCCGTCAAAGTCAGCGTTGTAAGCCTTACAGTTGGCGTAATGTAGTCTCAGCACCTGTGACATCAAGACAAGGTAGAATTTTTGGTTGTGCCATATCTGTCTTGATCAAACCATTATGACAGAGATGAGGTTTGACCTTCTCGCCGGGTAAGATCCGAGCACAGTGGGCTTGTATGGAGGGTCTGTGCAGCGTCGGCTGTCGGTTGAGTAATAAAACATCTCCGTTCTTTATATGACGATTCACCTGAGGAGACATAAACAACGAAAGCTTAAAATGGGGCCTCGTGTTTGTTCCATGAAAGGCACTATAAAGGCGTCCGACATACTATCTTCATGGGCATCTTGTGTGGACCGGGTGAGGGGGTCAGCAGTTGCTTAGCGACTGCTTCCCTCTGTGCCAGGTTCGTGGCTGACAGAATGGTTTTCCTGCCGTCCTCGTTAATCACCATGGAGGCACCAGGGTGGACGTTGGGCCCATTGAGAACAGCCTGACGGAGCTCCTTTACGTTCCACGGGGTGACGGGCTGAGGGTAGGTCAGCTTTTTGGCGAAAACCTGATTGGAACGTGCAAAGAGAAAGAACTTTGGGTTAGTTTGAATTTTTCCAGGTTTTTAGGTCTAGTCTGTCTTTTCTTGGAAAATTGGATCGGATGTACCATAGGTATTCCGATCTCGTTGGTTCCTATGTACATATCAGGACAAATGACTGATCGGGCAGCAAAGTCCACTCGTTTCCCCATCATGTGCTTGCGGAACAAGCCATCTTTCTTTTCAAGGATCTGAGAGGACAAAGGATAGAAGAGAGTGACAATGTTGTCACCTTATGAGAAAAGCTGAAGGCAATCTTTGTGTGATAATATGTAGCCTAGCAGCTCCAGTGATCAGCTGGATATCTGATGCAAGTAGACTGCCGTTATTCCCCAGACTCTGTGCTTTTCTGTATACCTGTCTGATTCCTGGGTATTTCTCTGTCATCAGTTTGTCCATGTCACTGTCGAAGACGATGTTGACGTGGCTCTGCAGGCGGATCCACGTGTTGTAGAGTTTATCTGTTAACGTCAGCCCGGTGATCCCATTAAGAAAAGTCTGGTCAGTCGGCTCCACAGCCTGAAAAGAGTGACACGAAACAGGTTGACATGTTGCTTCGGCCATTTTTCTTTGAAATGGCCTGGAATTAGAGAAAAGTAAGATTCAGTCCACACTCTCTTGTCTCACCTCTGCTTCCTTAGTAATCTTTTCTCCAGCTATGAGAGCCAGAAGTTTTCGTATGACCCCACAGTCCTTCATCACAGCCTGCATGTTGACAGTCTGACCGTTGGTAAACATTTGGTCACCCAGTCGATTGATTGGACGATATCTGACGCAGAGAGAGGAAAGGTGAGTGTCACAGTTCCCGCTGCTGTCCATTTTCACATCATAAATGGCATGAATTCTGCGATATGATCAGGTCTTGTTGGTCACTCATTTAAATTTAACGTTACCAGACACCTTCATACGTCCAAATAAATCAATTCAAAGTTAATACCAGGATGCCGAGGTGGAGAAACCAGATACGAAACTTTACATATCTCAAAACAGCTCAAATTGCCAACCACAATTTCGTATCATAACTGGCTGTATGGTAGCGCATATTCATGTGATGCTCCTGATCTACCTGCAAGGTGGGACCACCATTAGCTCCAGGAAGAAGAGGTCTGGATAGTAACCCTTCACTTTCTCTGCAGACCCCGTGGTCTCCTCCAACCCAGGAAAAAGACATTTGAGGAAGAAACCTGAAGGTGCAATAAAAGAGGGGTATTTATCCAACCTAAAATCTGAACCTTCTAACGGAAATATGTGGATGAAGTTTAAATCTTTGTGTAAATATCTTTAGAGATGCGTTGACAGCCTTTTCAACCTTCAATTATACCTTCATTGTGTTTGGAAAAGTTTCAAGTCAATCTAAACTGGGATCTTTGACTTTTTAACCTTGCTGGGATCAGATCCATTTTGTACCTTCTTTTTCCCAAAGTTTATTGACATGTTCTCTAGCCGTGCTGGCAGTCAGGTAGACTCTCTTTCCAGCCATTTGTTCATCTGCATGAAGATGGAAGAGAGGTTCTGTTAACACAGAATGTAAAGGCACATTTCAGGCTTACAACAAACATGAATTAAAAAAAGAATCTGACAGAGTTGAAGCAGCTGCCTGAAATAATTAAAACATCACAAACTGTCTCGCCTAGGAGCTCTCTTTTGGTTCTCTAACTTGGCAGCAATGTTCTTCTTTAGCACACATTAGCAAACAAAACTGTGACTCTGGGTTCTTCTCTCATTGTCTCTCTGCCTATAATAAATAAGTGCCTCTTTTTAACAGGACTCACCACTGGTACCATCAGGGGTTTGAGCTCCCAAAGGCATTGTGACGATCAGCTTGCTGTTATGCTCACGACGCACTGTAGATCGCTTGCCACTGAATATGGTTACAAGATTAATACAGCATAAGATGGGCAAAAAGCAGTTTAACGTTTTCTTTAAATCCAAGTCCAGAATTGCACTTTTAATTGTCAATGTTATCATTTAACACGAAAGCACTGTATTTTGAACAACAAAAAACTAAATTCAACTCAAACCTGGCTCTTTTTTTATAACTATTATGGATAAATGGAGGCTGACTGCCATCACATGAGAATATTTAGCATCACAATGCATATAACTAATTCCAAACACTTTAGTTTATAGTGTCTTTAGCTAATAATTTAAATTGAGAAACTGTGCTGTTTCAAACCATTTCAGCATGAAAAATCATCAAATTCTATTACAAATATTAATTTGTTAAGCTGTAAGCGTCCAGTGTGGAAGCAGAGGTCAGGCTAATATTGTGTTAGTCTGCTTTCCATCTAGCACAGAGTCCACAGTAAATCTCTAAAGTTCAATTTTAATTTTAGTTTAGTTTTAAATTCTGAAATGAAAAAACTTATATCTGCCTATAATAAGGCCCAATTGTCCTTAGCCCTTATTATGAGAACACAGACTAAACGGGAAGGCAAATGATCAGTTTGGCTGTTGGGAACTTACCTACAGTGGGGACAGGTCCTGGTTTTCATTTGGCTTTTCCAGAAGTCATTGATCAGGCTGCTTTTCTTTTCTACAAGATGTTTAATCTGACAAAACACAATAAAAAATTAAGCACAAACAAACACAATCATGAAATGAGGCCAGTGTGCATTGTGTGGTTGAAATTAATATATTTTTGCCAGGATGTTTTTCTGCTAAGTGTTCATGTGCATGCTCACAGGTTTGGAGGTCTCTGATCCTTCGGCATTCTGCCCGACTATCCCCTCTGTGAACTGCTTCAGTATTTGCTCAATCTCGTCTCCTGTGGCTTTGGGATTCTCTTCAAGGTGCTAAAATACACCACAGCAGAGATAAAAGATACCAGACTACAATTCCTAAAACTTTTCCAACAGTTTAGATGTGACTGTCAATTTTTTTTATCTTACTGATTTTAACTTGTTTAATGTACCAAACAATATATGTTTATATCAGACTTCTGCCTCAACTCTGTACCCACCTGGCAAAGAACTTGCTCAATAAGGTACACCTGTTGCATGGCTCCATGGTCCACCAACTTTAGCTGGTTGAGCAGCAGGTGGATGGAAGCTCGGGGACAAGTCAATGCATGGCAAGAAAAACAGGAGCCACGAATCAACAGGTAAAGTTTCTGAAAGGGGGTGTGGTGGTGTGGGGGGGGGGTTTAGGTTTAGGAAAAAGTTGGACGTTTAGAGCAAAAAATCTATTTGCTATTTGGTTGCAATAGTCATTATAGAGCCAACAAATGATGAAATTATTTAGGTGCTTACATCAAAGAACAGCGGATTATATACTGGTAGAGGCAGCTCTATGTGTCCAAGATGTCCCGGACAGTTGTTAAAATCCTGACAGCAAGTTGAACAGACCTGACAAAACAATGACACGGATTATATGACAACGTTTATATGCACATCATGATCAGGGTAGACAAAAAAGAAGCAGCCTGATTTACACAATATCTTCCAAATGTGTACCTCTTTCATGTCTGCTGACCCCAGGGCCAGATCGTACAGACTGTTGGGGGCCACATTTCCAACAGCGTCAAGAAACCTGAAATTGGTGATCGTCTTCACGCTCAACTTCCTGGTTGGGAGACGAAAACAGCGAATTATTTTCCTACTGAAATTACCAACATTTAAAATTACATAAGTAATCATAATTATCTTAGCTCCTGTCTAGAATTTGAATGTTGCCAAGAGCTGCCCATTTTTTTAAACTCGTTGAGCATATAGCTAGAAGCTGCCTCTTACCTTACTTCTTCGGCCGAGTACATGCCAAACGACATGCCCTCTAAACGCCGCCATGGGACATCTTTTCCAAACAGCATTTTTCTGAATTATCTCTGTATTGTGGTGTTTCGAGATTTCATGTCATGCCGTAAAGATGAATCGCACGAGGTGGAGTTTCCTCTGTTACCCACGTGGGACCATTCTATAAAAAAGGAAAAGTCTGGGGGGAAACGACAGGCTCATAATGATACTGTTTTAGTCTCTTACTAAATATTTCAATACATTTTCTAAAAATGTCTAATTAATTGTATAAATGCATGTCTTTTTAATGAATAGATGCGGGATTTATCCTGTATATCACTGATTATCATAATTCAACCTCCCCGTTAATGGAGTACATGGTTTTTCCCTCCCAGAAGCCTCCAGTTTGTAACAACATGGCGGCACCCGGTAGGCATATAGGGCATTACATGCAAAGAAATGGACGACGTATACTGTTTAATATCGAACAGTTATGGGGAATCAGGTACGAGTTGACAAATAATTGTCTTAAACCATAATCTTGTTAATTCCGATTAAATGTGTCATAGCTGTCTTTCTACGAAAGTCTGACAGCATCCTCCGACAGGAGGTCATGCCTTCGTTTGGCCCACATGCATTACGATACTGTCAAAATAGTTCTAATGGGAACAGCAGTTAAATAGGACAATGAAATGCCCTTTTTTTTACCTTCGAATATTTACGTGGTCTGATTTCGCTGTGTCTTTGCAGTCAAGCTTCCCATATACATCTCCATCTGCTCCATTCTGCAGTGGGAGCGTGTTTTAAGCCATACTGTTGTGATTATTTTTCTGACAACGTACAATTCTTGGGGAAGACTATGAAAGTTTGATTAAGTAAACCTCAATGAAATAGCAGCCCACCTTAAACATTGTGGTGGTTTTAAATTTGATTTCAGTTTAGCTCATAAAAGTTGTCCTTACAGGAGTTTTGGTTGGTCACCAGCTGTGCGACAACAAGCTACAGGAATTGTTAAAGGTAAACATGTAGTTCCTTTCTTGTGAGTCAGAAAAAATACATTTTTATTAACTTCCTGTGTATGTTTCACGTCTATGTTTATCTCTATCTATCTATCTATCTATCTATCTATCTATCTATCTATCTATCTATCT